GAGTGAAAAAAGGGTGTATAGAGTCAGCGACGGAGTCGAGTTGAGATCGTTCGAGATACGGAGAACAACACTGCGGGACGGTAACACGCGAGCGGTAGTACCATGTTTCCGTACTGCGCGGCACTCCGCTAGGTTAGATCGCGGGGGATTACGAGTTCATCGAGATATGCGGCGCGGCGTGCCGTCGAAGAGCGCCGAAGAGCGCCGAGGAGGGCCGAGGAGCGCCCACGAGGTGCGACGTTCGAAAAGGAGGCGTAAAAATAGCGCGCGTCCGCGCGATACGACGAGTCCGTTCGTTTCAATCGTAATGAGACGAAAATGAATATTCACACTCGCGTTCCCTGAAGTTCCCGTGCAACACGCGACGGTCGCTGATCGACGATTGCTCGGAAATGGAAGTTAAAACTCATAGTAGGAGCGACAACATGGCTGCTGATATTAATAATCATGCGCGATAAATCATGCTCGATGAAGCATGACGTTCTGCCTGTTTACGCTTGCATCGCAGTTTCAGCTACGTTTTTCTTATCTCTTGTGTTTTTTCTCCCCTCTTTAGAGTTCGATCTTTTTTACTCTGAATGCAGAAAATGCTAAACGAAAAATAACAAATCGAGTAATATTGAGAGACAATTATGAGACTCGTAATTATGCGGCTCTGCGCAGCTTTTTTATCATTATGATAACAAAATTTAATGATAAAATCTAATCTGATAGCACACACACACACACACACATACACAGATTGGTACGTCATACGCAGAGAACCAACCAATTACGCGTACAACATAGAGAACACGGCGCTGATTCGTTCGCTTTAGACTGGCGATTGGTCGATTTCTTTATGTAAACGCGGCTGGATAGACCTAATAATTACATAAAGGTGACCTTATGAATATTTAAACAACGTGGTAAAAGGAAGATAAAACGATAAATGATACTATAAAAAAATATTATATAATTGCATGTAACGTAAGCAGCAGCGCGTCTATTTTGATCTCATTAATTAAATTCCTATGCTATATAAATATCGAATCTGGAATGAAACTTGTTTAGCTTGCATTAATTATTCAAATTATAGTAGTATAATTTTATGATAGTTGCTAAAAGTCCCGTTAATAGATAAGAAAATAACAGTAATATAGTTAATTAACATTATAATGTAATAATGTACAATATGTATACAATTTAAAAAATAATTATTATTACTTAAAAACATTTGTATATTTGTATGCTTGTGTGAAATATAGACAATATATATTTTTATCACATAACGTATATATATATATATATAGTATGTAATATATACATTTTTTGTACAAAATGACATTTTTGTCTATTAGATATTTTCCTTAAATCTCGGCAATTTTTCTGTCAACCCCAAGTTTCCGTTTGATAACGATTGTTCTTCTCCAAACGTTTGATAAACATTTCCGCTTGTTCCTTTGTCATTTTTCCAATTTCTTCTGCTAAACGAACGAATTCGTCGCGTACGTTATCCGGCATATTTTTAGAATTTCCTGCTAAATAAATATTACCATTATTTTCTAAAAACTGCCAACACAGCTCTCTTTGTTGGCGGATAAGATGTTGGACATATCTGAAAAAATATTGAAAGCATAATTAAGAAAGTTAGGATTTGATTTATATATTTTACAATCTTTTTATAATTAATTTCAAAATAATAAAGTTTATCTTATAATAATAATAATAATAATAATCTTTATTTTAGATTAAAATTTATTTTGTATTTGTGAAATAAAAATAATTTAAAGAATAATTTATTTTAATGATTTACATTTTGTGATGCTGATCTCTGGAAAACGCGCAGAATACTTTCAGATTATTTTTTCTTGATAAACGTTCAAAATCTTCTCTACAGTGATAATCCTTACTCTCATTTCTACATCCAAAAAACAGGATACATTCTTTTAAATCTTTTCCTTTTTTCACTTTTTCTAAAAGCAAAGATCTAAACGGAGCCACTCCAGTTCCAGGACCAATCAAAATCATCGGCTTATCATTATCAAACCGAAAAGTACCTTTCTGCAGCCAAAATATCACTTTGTCATTATTATTTAAACTTGCCAACCACTTTGAACATAACCCAAATCTCGGCTTCATCAATCTAGTCTTAAATTTAACTACTGCTACTAGAACTTGTATTCTATTTGGAGTATCTTCTAAACTGGAGGCAATGCTATAAGGACGTGGCTTTATGGGTGACATGATTTCAAACAATAATTTAATGTTTAATTTACTGGTCGTATGAGGGAAATCTGTGAGGACTTCCAAAACATTTCTTCTTGGCCTGTTTATATAATCATAAAGCTCTTCTTGGCCAATCGGACTGGCAAATTCACACAGTTTTTCTTTCTCTAATTCATTTTCGCTGATAAGAGATAAAGTGTGCATGGTAGATCTTCGTGGCTTGAAATTCAGATCCCAGTATTGCTCAACAATCTCTCCTAAAGTTAAATTTTGTTTTAAAACAAATGGAATCTTTATCTCCTTCTCCGATACTTGAATTATTGTATCTGGAAACAGTTTTATATCGTGTTCGTGTAGTATATCAAAGAACCGTTTTACTTGTTCCGCCGTATTCTTCGGTCTAATGTAGATAACGTCTCCAGGATTGTAATTAATATTATTCGCTTCGATTGTTATTAATCTAACATCTTGAAAGTGATCTTGGAAAGTAGTTCTTATATTTTCAACTATCGTTCCTATTCTGATGTCGCTATTAATGAATGTTTCTTGTGCATATATGTCAGTATTTAAATGATATGAAATGTCTAGTAACCTTTCGTCAATATGTATCGGATTTGATTGATTCATTTCTATTATTGAAATATTATATCTCTCAATTATCAAATCTTCTTTGTTTATTTTGTCCTCTACAGAAATTTTGAAAACATTTGCAATTTCTTCCCACAATTTTTTGATCCAGGGATCGACCACAGCATCAATTCCTAGATTATGCTGATCATCGGCAAGTCCAATGGGTAATAATTCTTCGCCACCTAATTGCATGAGACGTTTATTTAATTTCTTCGCAGCAAAATTGAATTTTGAATAAGAACTATCGCCCAATCCAAGTACGCCATATTTTAGATTTTGGAGCATGGTTGCTGGGTGAGTCTTGCGTAACAGATGTCTCCAGAATTGTTTCATATTGGCTGGAGGATCTCCTTGTCCAGTTGTTGCGACAACGAAGATAATCAGTTGTTCGGAAGGGAGATTTTGAATGTCATAGTCATTCAGAGATGATACTGTGCTTCGCAATCCTTTCCTTAACATTAAAAATATACATTATATACTCTCAATTTCAAATTGGAGTGTTATACATGTTTTAAACTTTAAAATATTTAAGAATAAGTACAACCGTGTAAATGATATATATAAATATGATAAATATTTAAAATATTTTTTCTATTTTTTACATAAGAAAGGAATAAGATAAATTCATAAGAAAACTTTATTCATATAAGGTGTAAATAATTAAAATAAATTTCATGTATAAAGAGTGAAATATTTTTTTCTGTATTCATTTCCGTTTTATTTATTTCTTTGTGTGTGTGTGTGTGTGTGTGTGTGTGTGTGTGTGTAATTATAAATTATTCTGAATAACATAAATATGCCAAAAAGAGAAATAATCCTTGGTGAATCTTCGTTAATTTCATTTTTTAAAATAATGTTAGATGGAAAGATATATATATAAATGAAGCTAATTATATAAGAAAAATAACCAACATTAAGGATAAAAGTGAATTACATCTGTTAAACATCATTTAAAGGGGACATGAGATTCACTTGCCAGAAATTTTCTCAGAGGAGAAGGTTTATGTGCCAAAGAGGAACAACAACAAACCTTTTGGCGCTCTTCCAGATTTGTTCAGCAACGTCTTGAGCGGTTCCGGTCTCGCTTCCGTATAACACCCGTATCATCATTTCGTTCATTTTTGTCATCGTGATTCTTCCATATAATTAATAAATTTTTCAGTGATGAGAGACACTCAATATTTACTTAAGTATCTTAGCAGTTTTGATTGATTCGGACGGTGACGTTATGAGCAGACATAAAGTGTATTCTTTTTAGCAATGCTGAGTTGTACTTTGCATGTTTTAAAATAAAACATGATTCTGGCATCGAAAATAAAATGTAATGTTGCTTCCTCAATTCATTTGAGAATCAGATTAGCGTCCTAGTTGTAGCTTATTATAACATCCAAATTATGTGTTCAGTTAAATACGAAATTTTTAAAAGATATAATCTCTCCTTCTCTCTCTCTCTCTCTCTCTCTCTCTCTCTCTCAACTCAAATCAAATCCTCCAATTGCGTCAATCAATAACTCTATAAAATAGAACAGATGTTTATATTCATCACATTAGTTGCATTTCCTGTGTTTCATTAATTCTCTATTGTTACATTATTTAGTATATACTAAATATATACTTAATATAGATCTAAAATGTGGAAAATCAGAGCAGTTATAACAAGTAAACTCGCTTTGTTGTAAAGTAAATGTTGTAAAGTAAAGACTTATGGATATAATAATACATTTATGTTTGGAACAAGGCAGGAAAACCTTCTGTGGCATTTGCAACTGTTTGCACCTGCCTAACCGACAGGTTCGGAACACTCTCACGATGTCATCAATGGAATGTCAAGGAGAAACATTTAGACTAAGTGGTCCCAATTGGCAACGGGTCCGAGATATTTATAAATAAAAAATAATCTCGCAAATGATCAATCGCGCCGATGCGATCTTTCTCATTTTTCAAGAGAGAACTCAGATTTAATTTCAGTGCAAAACTTATCGCAAAAAGTCGTCGAATAGAGCGAAAGGTAGACGAGCAAATTCAATTCGTAGACATTCACGTAGATCTACGAATTGTCAAGGGTACGCGCGAAAAGTCAAATCAAGCTTATACTCGTAGCGCGATACAATTTGAGGTTAGGTTAACCTTGTATGATGTAACGGGATCAACAAACTCAGCTGAGAACACGACGTCATTCGTGTGATCGAAGATAAAGTAAAATCGCTGGATCTTATTTCCCCAATGAGATTATCGCTGTTTATCGATAATTTTGATCGCGTCTCGCGACGAACACGCGGAGTTTTAACATTAAGTTAGGTTTCTTGCTAATCATATGTAATTATGTACCAATAAGAAACTGTTCAATCGTACTCGGCACTTGGTTTGTCCTGACCAGATTATCGCGAATTTATCTTCGCAAAGAGATAAAAAAAGCGTAAACACGGCGAGATGATCGGCGAAAATTGAAGTTAGGTTAGGTTATCCATACTTATGTTCCTGACGAAGAGATTGGGATCAGGAGGTCCAGCTGGCTGTTGAAGTCGTTGAAATTACATTCCTAACGAAAGACTGGCGATCCATTGGCGACTTCATTGCCGTAGGACGCAGGAGGAATGCAAAATTGGAGGTTAGCGAGAATTTGAGGTTAGCCGCGATCGCGCACGCGCGCATGCTTCCGTGACGTAACGGTACGGCGTGAAGGGGAGCGCGAGTGGTTGGCAGTACTGGTACCCGTCTGTTTGCGGATGACTGTCAAAACCTACTTCCGCGACCAGCGAGCGAGATCGCCGTCGTCGTCGTCACCGCCGCTGTCGTATTTGCGGAGCAGTTCGCCAGCATCGGGTGACAGGCGGAGCAGCACGCCGTGGAGCGCGCGCGAACGCTCGCAGACGATGTCGTGACGCGGTGACCAGCGGTGACAGCGACTCGCGCTTCTCCTGTCTTCTACCGTGTCTTCGTCAAGACACGAGAGAGAGAAAGAAAGAGAAAGAAAAGAGGAAGGGAGACGTCGCTGCTGTTGTCCAAGTTGTCTTTCTCTTTGCTGTGTCCCGCGTTCCGATTCCTCGTCGTCGTCATCGTCAGTCGTCGTCATCGGATAATCCCGAAGGAAGGAAGGAAGGAAGGAAGGGCGCTCCGCGCTCGCGAGATTGATCGTGCGCGTGTACAAGCACGTACGTGTGCGTGCGAGCGACCGAGCTTAACCTACCTACCTGTCCGTTCCCGCGAATGCGAGCTGTGCGCTATGAAAACTGCGCGCTCGCTGGTGCATGAATAGTACATGAGTCGACTGGACGGTGCCGATCTGAAGGATCTCTTATGGAGGATAGTCGAGTGTGACGGTAGCTGGCAACGTGCGGGGCTCCACAAGGTGGCACGGGATATAACGCCAAGGTTACCAGTTCAACTGCTTAGAGATAGTCGCGCGCCTCTTGACCGTCCAAAAAGTAGTTGCTCGATCTCCTAAATTTTTGTTGTTTCTTACGCTCGTCGCGGGACTTGTTGATGGAAGAACTCGCTTCTCGTTCCGCCAGGTTAGGTTTTTTTGAGGGACGCGAAGAAGGTATTGTGGGAGATCGATCACGCGGTACCGCGTGTTCACTTCGCGAAATTCGGCTGGAAAGAGCGAGCGACGCAAGCATTCCAATTTTGAATATTCAAAGTGCCTATATGTACCTGCTTTCAAAGTCATTAGAAACAATCGTACAATGATTATGCTTGACATAAGGTTACATGCTAAAATGTGATTAAAAAGAACAGACTTATCCTCTTCGCACACATTTGAATATTCAACTTTAAATATCTCGAATGTCTGTCCTTTCATTTTGTACTTTGTATATTTTAGAGTATATAAGCATAGTTCTTATATATGAACATATATACATTTAGATGTTTTCATTTCAATCGTGCTTTTTTTGCGTTTTCTATAAAGTAAGATACACTAAAAGAAGTAAAAAGAGAAAGAAGGAAGAGATAAAGTGCAACTAACAATTATAATAAACATAGCTTATCAGTAGATGTTTCTTTTTTCACTTTGCTTTTTCTTTCTCTTTGTAAAGATATCTTACTAAATGAATTGACTTTAATAGCGAAAATTTATTCTTTTTATCATATTTTCCATATGATTTTTCATCCTTTTTTCTCTTGTAATTTTAGTTCTTTTCATATTTTTAACTTTAAGAAAAAAACTTTAGCTCTTTCAATATCTATTTAACTTTTCTTCTTTTACATATTTAAATAACATATTTATCTCATTTTGAATGCAAGAAGTAATACAAGTCGATACAAATATTGTTCTGTCTTGATATTCCATGAATAACAAAGACGGAACGATACTTGTGTGGACTTTTATTACCAAATAGAAAGTATCCATTATTACTTTTAGTTATAGAAACAATAATATACAAAATTTTTTTTTATTATATTATACATATATATATATATCTCCATTATTATTTAATATAAATATTAATATTTTTTTCAGGTTCTTCCACCAATGTCTACATTGGCACATCTCTAGTAGCTTTATTTAATTACAATCAATCATAATGCTGATCACATAGCGTATACTGGGCTATAAACCATATTTGGTCACAAATCTCCCAATAGACTGTGCTACGCAGCATAGAAAATTCTAGGATATTTAGAATATTTAATGTCTAGTGCACATTTCAACGTCATCTTTCAACTTTTCTTCCGCATCGAGAAATATTGCATCCCTTGCAACAACAAGACCAAAAGTTCCATCAATTAATTTCTCCATCCACTAAAGATGACCAGCAGACTCGAGGAAACAGAGCAGAAATGGACATGCGAATACTGCACTTATGAGAATTGGCCCTCTTCTTTAAAATGTACCATGTGCAGAGGCGCCAAGCCTCTCCTGGGCGAAGATATTTATCGTCTTCGAGATCCTAGTCCTCAAAGAGGTTCCTCTAATGTCGCTTCCGGTCCCGTATCCCAGATAAGCCCCACGGACAATTTCACCTCGCAAAATTATAGCCAGAATCTGCCTTCGGCAGGAAAGTGGGCCTGCAGCATGTGCACTTATCTTAATTATCAGAATACAACGCGGTGCGTACAGTGCAGTAACCGGAAGCCGGTCAATCAGTCTGTCAATTCATTAGCATCGAATCTACATGAACATTTAGCACCACTGCGATTGGCCGATGGACCACCAAACTCGGGATCGAATTCTCAATTGAATCCCTCGCCGATTAATCTCCACCCGGAAAGATTGTACAATATGCATCCAGAAAAATGGTCCTGTCATGTATGTACTTATGAGAACTGGCCCAAGGCAACTAAATGCGTCATGTGTGGTCATCCGAAGGAAAAGGATAGAAGGGATAAGAGAACACAAGGAAATGTAGGAGTGATTTTACCGAGTCCCGAGAGGGAACATAGTCAACGAGGTTTACCATCTCCTCCACATGCACCCTATATTCATCAGACGCAAAGAGAGGATAATTTAGCGATAGGAAGGAGGTGACTAAATTAATATTTTATATTTCACATCTGCAAAGAAAATTAACAAATTTTATTTAGAGGAAATATATTTAAAGATTAACGATATCAAGTTCAATATTTTATTTTAAGTACACATAACTTCTGACTATATTTCCTTGAGTAAGTTACAAATATGCGTTATTATATATTATCTCAGAAGAATATAATATTCTTCTGTTAATATAAATTTAATTTGTTTATAACTTATCTTTAACTTTTCAGAGGTCCACATAGGTATGCAGAAAGCCGGAATGATAGTTTGTCAACTCCTCAATCTCCGAATAACTGTGATTATGAGCGTCGGTTGAAGCAGTTAAGACGCCATACTGATTGGTGTTGGTTAAACGCTTGCCTTGGTATTGTCGAGGGTGACAATACTCCTGTTGAAGCTTACTTGGCAAGCGGTGGCGATCCTGCTCGCCAATTGACGCATTCTGAGGTCTTGCTCCTCAATAGAAGCAGCGCGTTTGACGTTGGACACACTTTAGTGCACTTGGCTATTAGGTAAACACAAAGAATTTAAATAAATGCTTCCATAAACCGATACTATTATATAAATTACGATTCTTAACATTAATAAATTAATAGAATTTTAATTGGCTTTTTTCTACAGGTTTCAAAGGGAAGATATTTTAGCAACATTGCTGTCGCAAATTGAAGGTTCGGGTTCAGGAGTGAAAAGAGTACCAAGTTACGTCGCACCTGATCTCGCGGTACAGATTCGCCGACATGTCACCAACAGTATACGCTTACGCAAGGGCTCGTTCCCCTGTTATTTCGTTACCGATATGGCTACCTTCGCATTGCCAGCCGAGGTTACTATGACATATATTACGATTTAATATAAATTAAACGAAAAATAAATATTTTAATTCCTTAAAGTAAATATTTTCAAATAATAAATAATGTTTGAACTTTGCTCAAATTTAATTTTTATTTAAAATAATTATTAACTCACCAAAAAGTGATTATATAAAAAAGATATATGTTATACACATTCATATATATATATATGTTTATATTTGAAATAGATACATATTTTTAGGTTGAGGATCTGCCGAGTATTGTACAAGAGCAGATGCTAGAGGAATTGTTAGATAAGGAAGCTCAACAGCAATTGGAAGGCGGTGGTGGCGAACCGCCAGCTCTAAATTGGTCTTTAGAAATTACTGAACGATTAGGTAGTCGTTTACATGCACTCTGGAATCGATCGGCCGGAGATTGTCTTTTAGATTCTGCTATGCAGGCTACTTGGGGTGTTTTCGACAGAGACAATGCTCTAAGGAGAGCGCTTGCTGACACCCTACAACAAGCTGGACAATTGTAAGATTTGCAATTCGTCCCTTAATTGTGTTATTTATTGTTTATTATTCTGGGAGTCCTTTATTTATTCTTATTATTTATATATATCTATATTTTAAGCTATAATTTATTCTAATT